TCGTTTGCTCGAACGTCACGAAAACCCGGGCGTAAATTCCCGACATCGTCTGGCGGCTCCATGAATAACAAAATTGTCAGGATTCCGTCGTCGCGTAACTGCATTATCACGGCGTCGCCGTCTCTCCACCGGAGGCGTGGGTACTTGTTGAACGAGCCTCTCCAGGCCGGCTTTCCGATTCTTTTTAAGATCAGCCACTTCGGAGCCGTCGAAAGTCGCTCCACTCTGTTCCCAGAAATTATACGGATTCGACGTGGAAAGGAGTCATGTCGGAAAGTAGATGGTAACTTTCGTATGGTCTTTTTACGGAATGCTTGCCGACTAGGACGCAGACCTGAGGATATTTGAAGTAACGTTATTCGAAATGTTATTTCAAATGATATTATATTATAATATATAGTATTTGAAATGTTATTTCAAATGATACTATATTATAATATATAGTATTCGAAATGTTATTTCAAATGATATTATATTATAATATATAGTATTTGAAATGTTATTTCAAATGATACTATATTATAATATATAGTATTCGAAATGTTATTTCAAATGATATTATATTATAATATATAGTATTTGAAATGTTATCTCAAATAAACGTGTCATTTTATTTCGCAATTATTTCCATGCCTGTGATCACGTTTGAAATAACGATATTTGAAATATTATTACGAATAACGTATTGTTTTGTTTTATAATTATTCGAATTAATTACCGGAGGTAATTACGAAATGCTTCTGGGAAATTATACGATGATGTAATTATTAGCTGTGATTGTGAGTCCGGTTTATTCGGACATTCTCACCGACATTTCTGAATTTCTAAGTAGGGTTAAAGATAATTGTAATAAATTTTTATAATATAAAATTAGTTATAATCATAAATTGTGATAGATTTTCAATGTAAAATTAATTACAATTATGAATTGTGATAGATTTTTAACAGAATAAAACTAGAAAATTAAAAATAGTAAATTTTTAATAGAAATAAAATTAAGAAACTTAGAATTGCGATACATTTTTAATAGAACTTTAAATTATGATAGCTTCTTAATAAAAATTTTAATTGTAACTGATCTTTAATAGAATATAGAGAGAGTAGATGTATGCGAGCAAATTGTGTTATATACATGGATAATAATAAATTGTCCACTATATATCTATAGTAATAATCTGAATAATATACACGTACAACAACAAACTGTCTAATGTACATGTATAACAATTAAGTGTCTAATATAAATGTATAGTAATAAATCGTCTAATATACATATACACTAATACATTGCCTAATACCCATGCACAATAATAAACTACCTAATATACACGTCTCTAAAATACATACGTCATATGCACTACAGCAGCTGTACAATACTTTTCGCTGCTATGTACTTGGATTAAAATTGGATAAATATATAAAATTGGATCAATATATAAAATTGGATTTTCGCCAACTTTCTGAGAGAGGATACCACTGTTGCATCGTCCCCTCCGTCCATAGTCCAGACGAAAAAGAAGATGAACGCGGCGAACGGAACGGCGGCCGGGAAAGTCGGGGAGAAACGATAGGCCACCTTCCTACCGTCACGTTGCACCCGCCGCAAGACGTTTTTCATTGTTCTCGACGTACAAAGTAAGAAATACGGAGGAAATTACCTGTCTGCTATCTTTACTCTATTGTTATTTCGTTGTGCTCTTATTTATCGTTATGATCGAGTTCCGAGGCTCCGCGGTTCGGTGCCCCGAAAGAGTCCGCTCCATTCAGCCAGGGAGGATGATACGTAATCGATATGGCGCACGATGGGTGCTGCAGTCTATTATCTCGACGGAGTCTCTGTCTAGACTATTTTAATGAACCGTCTGTATCGCCGAGATGCGGCTGCCACGTGCGCGCGATGGTTTCAGAAATTATCGCAACGAAAAGTTACCGGGGATCTCTGTGCCGAATGAAAATTCTCTGATTCGAACCGGAGACAGTCGTACCGCACCGATATTTCTTCCTTGTGTATGTACCTTTTACGTAATTTTTATTTGCACTCGCGCTATATTCATATTGCATATTATATTCGGTTCAGAAGCCAATCAGTGTAAGTCCACTTTTTTTAAAAAATTAGTTACGCAGTGCAAACACGTCTTTATCATAGGATCTTTCGATCGATAAGTTAATGTAATCGATTTCTTTATAATTAAATAATAGACAGCAGCACTTATATATATATATATATATATATATATATATATATATATATATATATATATATATAT